CTCGTCTTTAATGTTTCCATACATACCATAGCCACCTTTGACGTAAACAGAGGATTAGTATTATCTGGAAACACGACAGGAGGTTGTGAGGTGTAGAGTCACGTCCAGAAAGAGGTAAGTAAATCTGTCTAATCTCTTTAAATCATCTGTGACAAAATGCCCACAAAACCTGGCAGCAAGGATGGCCAAGATATTTGGGCAAATAGCTTCTCCGGCTGGCGTTGTGGCTTGGGCGGTACACTGACCCAAAGGATCCTGTTTGCAGTTTAGCGTCAAGGTCCTCCTGGCAGATCCATTAGTCTCGGCTGATGAAACAGGAAAAAAAAGGCTATTTTTCCCCACATATATTCCCCCCTCTGTCACTGTGGCCACAAAGTGGAAGGCTAGTCGCTTAGAATTACAATTCAATCTCTGAGATGATATCAGAAAGTAGGGAAGAAAACATCTGTGGGATTACAGTTCACGAGGCCATGTGTTCTACACAACATCAAGTATTTGTTGTACAGTAGAGAGCTAACAGAAAATGAACGGAGAAAGGGAGAGTTTACATAAGGAGGTCCCCTGCTAGACTGGAACTTCAAGCCGAAGCTATGCAATTTAATGTACATTTGGCACTTAATAAGCCAACAAATAAGGTCATTCATGCATTCCTAGGATGTGCACGCCAAAAAGTACGTCATCACGTTTCTAGCTTCACGCCACAAATCCCCACTTCCCAACTTTTGTGACTAGACGCCCATTGCGCACATTGGGCATGCTTTCTCTCACTTGTTGTGAAAACAAAAGTTCCAAATACTGATAAAAGCAACTAATTACAAAGTAAAGTTGTGAATTCATTTTTTCAATTTATCATTTTAAAAAGCTAGCCAATAGGTTTCCAAATCTGTCAATACTTTGCTAACAGAATCAAATTGTTTACAGGATATGCCACCTTTATTTCAATAGAATACATTTGTTGGTGTCAATGCTTCTTTCTTAACAGGGATTGTGTAACAGCAAATAAGAGTCCTGAACCATCCCTTAGTTATGCTGCTATAGGCCTAGACTATCGGGGGATTTCCCATGGTGCACTGAGCTCCTCTCTTCCTCTCTCTTTCTGCACTCATTCATGTCCCATTAATGCATGTTACTAACTTCACTTCTTCCCCGGAGTTCTTGTGCTTTCTCGTCTCGCAGGTTCTTGTTGATCCTGGTGGAGCCTCCTGCCATGGTCCTGCTAGATTGCCATTGCCAATACTGTTGTTGCTGTGCACCTGTCTATCTGTCTGTGTGTGTCTCTCTCTCTCTCTCTCTCTCTCTCTCTCTCTCTCTCACTAACTCACCCCAACTGGTCGAGACAGACGACCACCCACCTAGAGCCGGAGGATCTGTCCTAGGTTTCTGCCTTTTAACAGGCAGTTTTTCCTTGCCCTTGTCGCCAAGTGCTTGCTCATGGTGGTACTGTTGGGTCTCTGTAAATAATGTTATAAGGAGTTTGGTCTAGACCTGCTCTATTTGAAAAGTGTCCTGAGATAACTTCTGTTATGAATTGGCGCTATACAAATAAAATTGAATTGAATTGAATTGAAGTGTGTCCAAGATTTGAGTTTACAATCGATCACAATTCTTTCTTGGCATCGAGGAGAGGTAGAGCAGAGTGTGCAGCCATGCTTGGTCTACGACGTTCTTCCCATAGCACGCTTACTAATTTGTGCTTTTTCACAGAATATTTTGTTTGTTGGCATTGCAGAGAAAATACTGCAACTGATAGCACGTTGATAATGGACGCCTCTCACGCAACAGGCGCAGGCCACCGTGTCCAGTGCTAGCATCAACAAAACTTTACTCGGCATGCACACTGTCCTTGCAAGATTAGTAAAACCTGGCAGTAGAGGTCTTGATCCAGAACAAACTTTTGATTGAAAGAAAAGAGACCTGATTCGAAAAGGATCTGAGGCCCGATCCAAATAGATCCATGTATAATTCAGCCAAAGTGCGGACTTCTACTTGGCAGGCAGTCATATTTCTAGTCATGCTTTAGCAGGCTCTAGAGATGAAATTGTCTGTCTGTCAGTCAGTTGACCACTTTGGTGCAGAATGAAATATCATAAAATATACTTAGATAGATATAGATTGCCATGAAATTTAATACAGATACCAATGGCACCCCGGAGGATAAATCCCAATTACTTTGGTGAGCCTCTGACTTTTCCTCTAGCACCATCATCTGGGCTAAATTTCAATTCGTCCAATACATTGTTTAATGACTGATTGCAAAACTGATTACCTTTTTTTCAGTCTCAGCTGTACTTTGTGTTAAGCACTAATTAGCATATGTTAGCATGCTAACATGATATATCATGCCTGCTTAGCTAGTTTATGTTAGTATGCTAATGTTAGCATATAGCTAATGACTGCTGTGTGAGTACAGCTTCACAGAGCTGTTAGCATGGCTGTTGACTCTCTTGTCTTGTTAAGCTGCAAATAATAGCTTGTTCTACATTATGCATAAGATTGACTATAATAGGACAATCTGGATTGTATCAGGTAAATTGTCAATCACAGAAAACCAAACACATTTTCATTTCAAAACTTGTAACAACCTTGTACTCATTGTACTGCTCCATGTGCCAAATCTGCTATTCCAAGTACTATCTGACACAGGTCGGTGGCTTTTAAAACACACTGACCTTTCCTCTCTGTCTCCTTCCCATCACTGCCTCCTTTTAGTCCAAAACACCATATAATTTAACTGGTCACATATGCAGATTTATTTTCTCCAGCTGGGACATTCCTCTCTCCAGACTCTCTATGGTTCCCATGTCCGAGGAGGAACCAGAGGGAGAAAACCAGGACAGTGGCCCAGACAAGGCCTCTACTCCTCTCTCAGGGACGATTCCGGCCTGTCCACCCCCCACTCCCTTGGTGCTTCATAAATCACACTTTACTGGATAGGACAGGCAAGGATACATAGACACAGATTTTATACAAACAGAGGCATAACCACCCACGCAAACTCATCCACATACACACTACACCCCCTTTTCACACACAACTTGTGATTCAACCAGTTTTCACAATGACAAAGGGTCTTCTCGACACAGTGAAACAGCTCGGTCTAGACTTGCAAGGGCAATAACTTCTCACAGGGGCAAAACAACAACATCCGACTCTGGAGTTGAACCCATAATTATATCAGGTCAAGCCTGCAGACACTTAAAAACTGCTTGAAATATTCTGTGTCGGAAGGAGGAGCAGCATATTAATGCATGATACCATCTGTGCTCAATATGTGAAGCGGGAAAAAAATCAGTATTTGAAGAGAAAAGTAGGCAAAATATGGATTTCAGCCTTGCTCGAGAGACCAGGAGGCTGCAGTGAAACCTTGAAAGCAGGAAGGGGGTTGTGGGATACTATATGAGCTCTCAGATGTGTTTGTCTTGGCATAGCCTCCGAGTGATGTCATCATCACCATCATCATCATGGCTGTTGCTCCACTTCTTTGGCCCAGTAAATGACGAAAGCACACATATCCAGCTCTTGGATTCCTCTGGGTTCAGAAGTTGCTCATATTGCTGCAAGTGCTTCAATTGATGTGCAAACGTTACAGAGCACGGAGAACAGAGCTTTTAAATTGGTCTGGTGAGCAGATGCTGTCAGGCCAGATATTCAGACATGGGCTCGCCAAAGAAAAGTGCTGTGTGGCTAAGGCACACTTATGAATGTTAAACAAAACTCACTGATCCATGTACCTAACTCCAAAGAGTTTCTGGTAATCAAAGTTGCATGAGAGAAACTAACCCCCCCCTTATGTCAAGAGTTAACAGGAACACTTGACATTTCAAAACCTCACAAACAAAGCTGAGGGGAGAGACGGAAATTAAGACATTCACGTCCTCGGAGTCAATCTTGAGAAGACATCAACTTCCTCGCGTAAGAGTTTGACCCGAAAGCCACATCACAAAAGAAATAATTTCCCACGCAACTTCTTCACTCTGTCGAAACATTTAACGACTATCTCATTTATGCTGACGGGGGGCGGATTGGAAATGCACCAAATGCGATGTGAATCATACACAGAGACCACGAAATGACAAGCTGGTTCAACACTAAAACGGACTCGTTAAGGAACATAATCGCTCAAAGATGTGCGAGCGAGATAGCTCAAAGGGAATGAATTCACACATGTAATCAGTGTATAGATAAGAGCGGAGAGAATGACAGGATTATTGGTGCCAAGCTTTCTGCTCAGTTCTCTTGAGTTGTGCAAGCTGCTGGCTGTCAGTGGCTGCTTGCATGGAAAATGAGATCCAGCTCCGGGATTGCTAAACCGACTTTCCACAGGAGGGGAGGCAAGGTGAAAAGTGAATCGCTGCATCTCGTCCCGATGTAGATACTAACAGTGTTCATACTGACTGACACTGATAAGTACTGTTAGTCAAATACTGTAACTGTTCACTGAGGCACTAGTACACTAATGTTAACATGACACCTTTAACAGCCTCCAAAATAGAAAGTAACCCATTAAACATCTCAAGTCTCACCTTCACCAATTACTTCTGAATTTACTTGACATTCTTATTGCAAGAGACTGGCCCCCAACCATAACACTGCCTTTCCGCCACACTCTTCCCCCACACACACTGACTGCTGCCAGCCAAACAGCACCTCCAGGTGGTGCCAAGCCCCAGCTAGGAGATCAGGAGATTGGGAGAGACTGAGGGAGAGCAGAGGGAGGCTGGAGTAGGGGACCCTTACGGACAAAGGGGTTAGAAAAGGAGGGAGTTAAATCAAGAGAAGGAAGAGGGGGAGATGTGCTGAGTGAGCATGCCGCTCTGTGTATGTCAGGAGTGTGTTTATGCTACTAATGTGTACTCAGAGAGAGGGAGATACAAACAGGAAGAAACAAACCAAATGTCAGGCAGTTCTCTGAGCGTCAGCTTCAAACAAAGCCACATTTGAATCTACTTTTCACACAATATATGTTTAAAAAACACACAAAAATGTAAGAATCCACTCACCACTTTCGCTCTTCTCAATCACGTCCACCGTCTCGCCGGCCTTGAGGCTGATCTCCGAGTTCTCCTGCCTCTCGTAGTTGGCCACGGCCACGTACTGCTCCAACACCATGGGCTCCGAGCTGTCAATCCCTGAGGGGAAGAAACAGGCTGTCAACCACCTGCCTGCCGTGGCGCCCCGCGAACGACCGCTGCAACCAACTACGCCGCTGTGCACCCGGTATGCCGCCATCGGCCAACCCCCGCTCCCTCCTGCCCTGACCAATCAGAACACAAGCTCACGCCTTGGTTGCATAGTCCCAAACGTCTGGCCATATAGCTGAGACGGACCCCCCAGCCCACAGTCAAGGACTGAGGAGCATCGGAAGGAATCAAAACAAAAGGAGGGAACGGGATGGAAATGTTTGAGGGGGCTGCATCTCGCGCCTAAAGTGGAGCCATGACCTGAACCAAACTCTAAGATCCAAAAGGGAAGAAGTCAAAAGAAGAAGGAGAAACAGAGGAGCTGCTAGTGGTTGGAGGGGAAGACTGGGGAGCGAATGAGTGGAAGAATGGTGAAGTTTCCCTGTGGAAAATCAACAGTGCGGTTGAGGGGAAAGGCCTCCCCTCCACTGCCTTTGGGAGCCAGCCGTTGGACAGCGAGTCGAGAGGGGGGGTGAACACACCAATCATGGTAGTCGGCACTGCTGGCCTTAAATAGAAACATATGAGTGGAGTAAAGAAGGAGAGAGAGAGAGAGAGAGAGAAACAGGGAAGGAGGCTGGGTTCGTGTTTATGTGAAACAAAAGAAGAAAGCATTTCAGTTGGGGTTAGGCTGCTCTGTTTTCTCTCTCTCCTCTCTGATGTTTAACCTTTTCAGTGCCAGCAGTGATTTCGTTTACTGACTTCACGTGGTGCATATCTGATCTGAGTTGCACACATGCTTATTTGCTTGTTTGGCCACAGAGAGATGACACACACTGATTCAAAGGGACCTTTCAGCAGATTACGCTTCACAAGCTGTATCAGTGACACTGATACAGCAAGGACAAATAAATGGATGTTGTGTGGCCAAAAAACAAGATTTATAGTAAAAAAGACTGCACTCATATCTGTCCAACAATTTGTTCAAACAGTGACTTGACTCCAAACATGACTCAAACGATGTGGCCGAGAGCTGATCGTAACAAATCATCAGATGCGTCCCAACAGATGTATATAATGATCCACTGATGACGTTTCTCAACATTTATTAAAGTGAATCATTCAACATTAGTGCATGACAGCTGCAGTTAATGAATACGTTAAGTGTAAGTTAAAGTATGATTAAGGTTAGGCAATTAAAAGATGGTTACGGTTAGGGGCAACATTATCAACAATGTTAACAAGCAACTTCACACCCCCTTTAAGCCTGAACCCTGCTTCATCACAAATGCAAAACTTTTCTGAATATAAAAAGATATAACTGTGGGTAACAGCTCATGCTTCACTCAAAGTATCTTTTCTTTCTAGAAGAAATTAAAAGCAGTGACTTCAATGTGAACTTGATGGCGAAATGTCGCACTACGTACGTCATACATTTTTCACCAATTTGTGGGGGGACTAGATGACAAAGTAGCTGGGTCTTCTCTGGAAAAGGGAAAATAACTGTTGTAGTGAACACTACAAAATAGTACCAGGATCAATTGATAGTGTCAGCAAGGAACTATGTGTAATTTACTAACTCAACTAACGTTCTAACTAGAATTAGTGTCAAGTTACTCTTTAAAGGAATAGTTTAACATTTTACTTTTGTTCTTTTTGCAAGTAAGTAAAGAAAGCAAGAGAAAACAGACTCTTTACAAAATGAACAAACATTCCTACAAGCACCTCTAAAGCTCAGGAATTAACATGTTGAGTCTCAAACAGAAATGCTGGAACTACTTCCTGCCAAATAAGACACGTGGAGTTTTGAGCCATCATGCCTGGCAACCTGCACTACAGGTGGTGACGGTGTACCGATGTGCTGGGCAAACTTCTGTTCAATCGAGGGATAGTTTTCATTATATAGCATATTTTTAACGCTGAATAGGCCCGGGCTAGCAGGGTTCCTTGCTTCCACTCTTCAACCATGTCCTGAATCCAGCAATTGGTCAAGTCTTCTCATCTAACTCTCAGAAAGAAAGCAAATCATATTGAAATACCCCTTTAACAAAGCTAGCACTAATGTTGGTGTGACTGAGGATGTGAACCCTGGTCTTAGCTGTTCACCAACTTTAACTTTGGCACCAAACGATGACACTGAACTTATATTAGGGTTGGGCGATTGGACGAATATATCGGCTGTCTGTGATTGGTTAGGGTTAGAGTCCATCACCGGTTGTTTGTTTTTTTGGTGGATTGTTGTTGTCGTTTTATTTTGCTTATTTAATGGTCTGCCTCCAAAGAACACACGAGGAGCACAGTACTCCCACTAAGCCAAAGAATGAGGTGTGAATATATCTACAATTGCTTGTTGTTTGGCTGAAAGTGGCCTGTTACATTTTTTATAACATATATTGTAGATCCTGCAGTGCAGTATTGTCCTAAATTGTCCTTTGTGACAGCACCAATGCTTATGATCAATCAGGCATGTCCAAAATGCAAATTAAAGGAACACTTTGGACCTCCATTTGCCACAGCAGGTGTAGAAGAAAGCATTTTGCAAGTTGTTTTGCTGGAAACAAAGACTGGATCACATGTATAGAGAAGATGCAGATGACAGCTAGACATCCTACTGAGTGTGCTTAGTGGTTGGCTTGCTAGAACTAGGCTACCAGCTGATGCCAAACAGACACATTTTGGCAACAAGAGATGGGAGATGAAACGCGTCACATTAAAAAAAGATACCAAACATCATACATAAAGGGAACAGGCGCGTCAGCACCAGCAGTGACACAGTACAGGCATCAGTCTCTGATGAGCTCTGGCTAATTACTGCGGCAACAAGAAAAGTAATATCACACTTTGTCAGCAAATCTCTCCATCTTCCCACTTACGACTGCATCTGAACGCTGGATTCTCTGCTGTCAGCCTCTTTGTCGTTTTGTAAATGGGATAAGACCTTGAACATGAGTTGTATTGTAAGCGTTAAGCTGTGCATATCCTGCACGTTGGAGACCACTGTCCTAAAAGATCTAAGAGTAGATCTCACTAGTTTAGAACCAATCGTCACTAACATTAAATATAATGTTTACTGTGCAGCTAACATCTAAATAGCATATCTTCACAGTGGTCTTGTAACATCTTCATGAGAATGAGACAGGTTGCAGTGCCCTCATGCATTTAAGCAGCCTGGAAGAATTTAAAGCGGTATAAAGCTTTTGCGCAGTGCTTAAAAATAATTAAGCATCTCCACAAGTTGTTACTCATGTAAACAGGCAGGGATCACCAGGGATTGCTCATAACCTTACTTCCCCACAGGGCGAGGCTGGGCATTCATCTCCGTCGTTCTTTAGCTTTCTCCCAGGAGGCAAAATAAAGAAAAGGAACATATTGCGGAGAACGTTAAGCAGCCTATGTGCAGAGAGCAATCAAAGTCAGCCTGAGGTAATAAAGCAGCACAGATCCAGCTATTTAAAAGCTTTATGCTGTTGTAATGGCAACCACGCCTTGTTGAGAAATAGCATGAATCCTGAAGACCTGTTATACTCTGCCTTCAATATTCCAATACTTTAATTGCACATGATTTCTTGATTAAATTAGGGTAGAGCGGCTTTCTCAAAGTTCTGCACCTAGTTTCTGCAAGAAATAGTCATTTTTTGTTTGACTGAGTCTGTTCAAAGGGGGGTTTGTCTTTGTTGTTCCTAACTTGTAATGACACACTGACAGTTCTAATGGAAGGAAATAACATGTATGTGTGTTTCTCCAGCAATGCCTCAATTACAGTTAAATGTCTCCGAGAATATTGGCAAAATGTTCACCAGATGGGCAAATCTGTGATTGTTTTTGTGTCAGAATGTGCATTTGTGTTGAGGAAAATGTTCTTTTCCGGTATGATTATTTACAGTGCAGACAATTTTGATTTCACTTCTCTCTCGACTCATCATTCCTAGTACAACCACAGTAGAATGAGGTCACGGGAGTGATCTAAAGCCATGTAGCAGACAAACGTAAGGAACCAGACTTGACACCTCATTTTAGTCTGAGATGCTTGGCTACATGCAGACCTAATGTCCATCCTCAGGGCCTCTGGCACTGCGCCCAGCTGTTGCGTTGGCAACCCAGGTCTGCGGAGATGGATGGACAGACAGCAGAGAAAGAGAGGCTGAAGAAGAGCAGATGGGTGGAAGCAGGGGAAGATGACAGCGCATGCGAAGCAGATGTCGAGAGAAAGCTTAAGTGTGAAAAGAAATAAACTGAGCAACCTAAAAGGGATGCAGCTGGCACGTCGCTCTCACACAAGCACAGTTAGTGCATGCATATTCAACATGTTGACACAGACACACAGGGCTACCTGAGGCCTCTTTCCTCGGGCTGTCTGTAAAGCCGTACATCCATACTGCAGACGAAGAGAAGGAAGGAGAGAAGCAGAGAGAGATTATTCAGTTTGACAGCATGCAGAAGCAACAGTATGGCAAAGCACACCTTCATCACACCTACTGAGCACAAAATATAAAGAGGCAGACTTAGCACTGGGTCCAAAGTCTGGGCCCGCTCATCTGGGAGTGATGTGTGTGTATAGTGTTTTTAAGCTCAGTGTTTTCCTCGTGCTGTAGAGAATAAAGTGCATCTGAGGGCAAGTCTCTGGCCAGTGTTTTGGTACTGTATATTACAAACCCTCCATCCTACGCAAACCCTCCCTCCTTAAGACTGTAAGACCCCCCCCCCATCTCTTCATATCTTTCTCCATTTCTTCCATCCCTCTATCTGGACCTCCTGGAATGTCTGAGATGGGCGTCAGCAACTTCTAAAGTCAGACCCCCTACCCCCCCTTCAAAAAACATCTCAGCCCCTAACCAGGAAATTAAACGCCATGCATCAGAGGAGACAGGGACAGAGGAGCTGGTGACCAAGATTTGGGGTGCAGCAAATGAAGCTACCTTGGAATATTTGAAGGAAGCCATGATTTGTAGCTTGATTTGAGATCTATCAGAGCAACATTTTATTTTAGTGTCTGGCTGTCGTCTTGTCCTGGAAGTGAGCTAATGTTAGGGCTGCAGCACTGCCGGAGAGACACATACACATAAAAATATGAAGGAAATGAAGCAGGACCTAGGCAGGGCAGGCTACTGAGAATAAGAAGGAATGTGCTCGACAACACTACAAGAAATGTCCATCATCACATACACTTGTATTTGGCCTTTACATCTTGTTTTGCAAAAATAATGAATTACTTGTTTAAAAAGGAACCAATATTGTTTCAAGAGCTTGTTTTAAGAAAAAATTTGCATCAGCTATGTTTTATGTTTGGAGATCAGTGAATGTCTGTCCCCCTCGGAGTATCAGCTTAAATGTCTGCAGATGTATATGGACTTTTGTGGGAGGTTCTCTTACAAATAAGGGTTAAGGAAAGACTGAAAAATATCATATTGCGATATTTTTGTTGTGATATTATGTTGATTTTCAAAAACACTATATATATTTTTGCATTTAAATCCCCAACAGCAGTATTAAAGGACCAGTGTGTAGGATTAGTGGTATCTATCGGTGAAGTTGCAGTTGCATTTGAATACAGCTCAGCTTGTCTAAGTGTGTACAGTGGCTGCCAAACTCGCAAAAAACAGTAAGAGTCTTGAGTTTAGAGTCTACAATTAGTTTTTTTTGGTTCTGGGCTACTGTAGAAACATGGCATTTCTGCCAATAGATCCTCCTAAATGTTACTAGACCTTTCAAGCATAAACTGAGGGCTACGACGTTGGATGTTACAGAGATTGTGACAAATACAAATGCAGATACCTCTGTTCTGGTTGCACAAAAACAATTTAAGCATATGGTGGTGTGTTCTTTATACTATGACAGTTTCCCTAAAGTTGCAATATATTGGACAGTTACAGTATCGCAACATATCACAATGTATTGAATCGTAACCATTATATTGTGATACGTAACGTATCACCGGATTCTTGCCAATACACGGCCCTACTTACAAAGACAATTTAAACTGGATTCTCCAGTGGCAGGCAGGCTAAACACACCATAACTAAGTCATCTCACAAATCTCATTTGTGAGATAGTGTAGATTTCAGGCACCCATTAGAGCTGCTGTGAGTACCCAACAGTAGGCCAATTTCAAGACAATAAAACCACTAATTTGGATTTATTTACTGCTTTATATGTTCTATGTTGTAATACATCACTCATTCCCATCTAGCCAGTCCAACTCCCCTTTATCTCACCGTCAACCCTAGTTATACAGTAGCAAATTCACTTTCATACACCCTACTCCTACCCATCCATGTTTGTCTAGAAATAATGAAGTTCCAAACAATACACATTTACAACTATTTGCTTGTATTTTATATTTCTGTAAAGCACTTTGGTCGACACCTGTGCTCTATGAATACATTTGATTTGACCTGACTTTATCCTCATGGCTGGGTAATGTGTCGCTGACACTGAAGTCATGCAACCGTGCTATAGTTTGTTTATAGCCTAACATTAGCTTTTTACTTCTGGCGATCGCATTACGCTTTAAAAAATCCTAAAACTGGCTTTTATTTATAACATAAACCTTTGTTCACCATAGACTTTATTTTCTGCAATAATCCAGAGTCCAATGAAAAAATCCCATTGTCTTTTTCTGAAGGAACCAGGGTGATGCTAACTGCAAAAATACGTCATCCCTGCAGCACCCTATTGTCATCAAAAAACACTGTTGTATATATTTTGTATAATATATTATGTTAACGTAATCATACATTGTATACAAAAAACATAGATGTAGTCAAACAGAGATGGTTGAGGCAAATGTATGTGTCTGAAAAATACCTTGTAACCCCAACTTTTGTTTTCACTAAAACTGAAGGTTTATGGCCTTTTAAATCTTGTTTTATCGCTCTGGGTAAATGAAATAATTCAAAACTTGTGGCAAATATCCAAAAGTTAACAGTCATCAATCTGAAAACAGGGCGGTTTCCAAAATAATCAACTTAATCTTTTGAAGAGATCAAGTTTTTATACTTCATGAGCATCACGCTGTACTGGATCCTGACGAGTGCTGCCCCCGTTGTGAAGCCGACAGCTCCTCTCCGTTGACTCACGTGAGATAATAAAAGCCAAATCCCCTCTCGCTATCCACCAGAGCCTCAGGATTTTTGCTGGATTGATGTTGGCCCCAGAGGGAGGGATACGGACTGGTCCCAGGTCAGTTAGGGTCAAACCCCGCTCACTAACGCCCTACTGTGATTATTATCCACCCGGCTGCTCTCATTGTAGCGTTTAACATCTGATTGATATTAACTCTGCTCCCCACTCCTTCATGCTAAGCCACCCTCCCCCCCTCTGTAAAAATACACACACACACACACACACACACACACACACACACACACACACACACACACACACACACACACATATAGGGATGCTTAATTCCTTTCAGGTTTGGGTGATGACGCCACAAACCAGCAGAACCAGCAATGTTTTCTCTGTCCCTTTGCTGCTGTGGGTAATTTACGGAGAATTCTGACCCCAAATGTCTACATTACCCTGCAATTGAGGGCCTGGGGACGGTGAAAAATGGCATATCTAAAGTCTTTCTCTCTAGGTTTGGATTGGAGGGGCTTATTAGCCATCTGTCTTGTTTTTCTATCGACTTAGTAGATTGTGTTTTGAAAGAAAAGTTCCTGTTACCGCACATCCCCCCTTGGCCGACCACAGTCCATCAACAAGCTGTGGCTTGAGGGCTATAGGAGTGAGCTGCCTGTTGAAACTGTTCAGCATGATGAAATACCTACCAGTATATGATCTTTTTACAGCTTTGGAGATCCCATAAACTTGTTGATGCTGAAACCCCCAAATTTCCTTTCAACTCACTCTTGATAATTCCAAACTGACTGTGTTGAGTCCAGACCGGACTCGCCCCAGAGTGCAGGAGTCATTAACAACTTTTTATCGTTTTGCAGGTAATGACGAAGTCTAAATTACCATTAATAATGCCTGAAAATAAAAAAAAGAAACAGAACAGCCGTAGAACTGAGCTTCATGCAATCAGTTTCTGATCTCCAGATTAAGTTAACTATCTACTTAAAAAAATTTAAATAAAAGTTGCTATATTTACAGATATTGAAAAAAAATACTCGTTTCAGCCAAGTACTCACTCAAACCTACTTTCAACCTTCAACATACAATGTTGCATCTGGGTAAAGTACACATATGAGATATTAAGCATCAACATTGTGTACTTGCTGTGTACCTTTAAACATTAACCCTAGAGTCTTCTTTACAAAAACAAAAAAACAACCAGGAGAAAGTAATGAATGCCATGAACAGATAAATCACATCATAAAAAAGCCTTATTTTGGCCCTCACTGCATCCATCACACAGCTAGCTACACCTGCTGTCACCACACAGCAAGACACACAGCAAGACACACAGCCAGGATCTTAAATGACAAACCTCTGTCACCTGACACCAAGACAAAGGCGACCAATAACAAATTACGGCTAACCAATATTGATCCGACACTCGTGAAAAAGCAGAGCAGCCGAGAGTGACACCAACGCTAACAATGTCAAACCCCAGGCAGAAGCTAACTGGTATCGATACAGCGTTTAGCAAGGAGAGGAGACAACAACAGCGACGAAACAATTCATCCCCGACTGTGACACAAACGTTTGCGTTGACAAACGGCATTTGTGTGCTGACCGGGGGGGCTTTAGCCTTGACACAATGCTAGCAAAATACAGCCATTAGCAATGACAAACTGCTCCCACTCCAGGCCGGGAGAGTGACGTGCTGTGGGTGCTCGCTTCAGGGTGAGGTCAAATCCCATCACAGGCCACATCTGTTCCACAGCGAGCACTGTCACTTCTGTCCAAACCCTCGCTCCTCCTCTACTCCACCTAAATCACTAGTTTTTGTTTTAAACATTACCTCCTTCAGTTTTAATGGAGGCGAGCGGCAGTGAGCACCGTCACTCCCCAGGGAATAACTCTTCCTGCTCTGCCACACTGTGTTCGCCAGGCCTCGTGGCTATAAAGCTGGAAAAGACAATTATCATTTTTCTGCCTAAATCAATACTCGCTTTACTGTATCAGCACTGATATAACATTCTGCTGACATTATTATTGCTGCAATTAAGTGCTCAATGTGATGTTAACTGTGTAAAAGTCAACATAGAGAAGGGATTTATTCTCACAGGTTCTTATATATGGAGGCCGGTAATGGAGGGTGTAAGTGTCATATAAATGTGTCTGTTGGTAGAGGAGCTCCTGATGCTACAAACAACAGCTTGCATGGCTCAAAGATCCTAATTAGCACAGACAGCTTAACAGATATGTACACAGACAAACTGCCCCTGTCCACTAAATCTACACTTGTAAAAACACCAACGCGCATAAAGACACAATCCTCCTCCCTCCTCCGAGTAAATAGGACTGGCCACTCTGACATGAGTCTGAAATCTTATCCACTGTGCCACGTAAACAAACTAGCGCCTGTCTGACAGTCTCAACCCCTGTGGCCTCTGCAGCGCTAACAGCACCCTCCTCCATTCCCTCTGAATCTGGCCCTCACATGGAGGGGTGAGCTCCATCTGCACTCTGCAGAGCTGTGACCCCTAAAACTCCCTAGACCTGACCCTGTGCTCAAAAAACAACAACACATCTGACATCTACGTCCCCCGCTAAGTTGAAATAAGACAAATCAGTGTTTGGTTTCCGTTGGGAGGCACCAAAAAAGCCAAAATGTTCATCTTTTAAAATCCAACTTCTTTTCACGTTTTAGGTGGAAATGTTTCCACTGCAAGCCTATATATTAAGATCTTGACATTTATGGCCTTCAGGCCTGTATCAGGGAGCAGTTTTATAGGGAATGACATGCACCAGAAATCCCTAGATATACCCAAACCAAGCACCCAGGAATAGTGCCAGGCTTTGAAGCCAATTTGACATAATGGTCTAGCCGTGTAATTACAACAATGACGTCTGTCACGTGATTGAATACGGGACCAAAAAGACTTTTCCCTATAAGCTTACATTGTGAAAGAAGAGGCTGTACAGTTACAGATTTGTTGAGTGTCACAACCCCTGCAAAATGACTCGTTTCACTATCAGAATTTGATCCATTCAATCCGATAACATTTTGTAAGTGTAGAAGAGCGGCACGATTAAATCATTTTATCTTCATTCAATTTAATGGAGGGCTGAACCAGAAGTTACCAGGCTCTGCAGGTGGAAGTCAAGTCTGGTCATTTCTATTCTGGCTTCATGAACCACTGAGCAACTTTCATAGGAATGAATGGAGTGCTGCATCCATTGCTGTATCCAGTTTTCTTTACATCCATGACACGAACTGGAAAACTGAGGTAAGACAAATCAGTGTTTGGTTTCTGTTGGGAAGCAACAAAAAACAAACGTTCATCTTTTAAAGTCTGTACTTTCAAACATTTTTCTCACCATTGTCACGTCTTAAAATCCCATATATCAAGACCATGACATTTATGCCATCAGGCCTTTATTAGAGGGGGTAACATGCAACAAAGATCCCTAGAAGTTTGTCCAAACTGGAAAATTGTAGTTGCCTGGTGTGAATTTCCACCAGGACACCACAACTGGTTCCATTTTTTCTACTTACCGACTTGATGTTACACAATAGTGAGTCAACAAATGCCCAGTTTATATGTACTGTTCCAAACATCCCCCTGTTTTTTGAGAAGTGCTCTGGTTCAGTGGAAGTGATGCATTTATGTTTCCAGCAGAGGCAACAAGAATTTGTTTGGAGGGAACAGGGGATCAGCAGGGTGGATGTTGAAAGCAGAAATAGTCATCATGGCCAAACAGACAAAATAAAAAAACACCACTAATGTTGATAGCACTGCTCGCCATGTGAAGCGCCATGCAAGAATCAAACCACTGGACAAATCTTTGAGAGAGTTTGACACCTGCCCTTAATTAAGGGATAGTGTTTCTTAGTTTCCACTCATAGAAATATTGCAGGTGTTATGTAACTGTCCAAAGGTTTAAAAATAGACATTCGGACACCCCCTTGCCACGCTGACTGACTTGTTACTTGAGGTTGTAACAGAGATCACTGGGTCAGTGGAGTGACATCCAACTGGGCAATATCCCAAAGATTTAGGTTGGTTGACACAAAAGCTACGAAAGCCACCTGTTTCAAAGCATAATGCACTATGCTAAGGGGATGTAAGAAAAAACACAAGCTGGCTTATCTGCGGCAGCAATCAGCCTCCAAGAAATCAGATCACTTTGAGGAATGTGGATGTAATTGAATTGGTAGAGAGCTCCCTCTGGGACTATGACAAATCAATTCCTCACAGGAGGCAAACAGAGTTCCTACTCTTTAGGTCCAAAAATAAACTCACCATCAATTTCAAGAGTTGTTTACTTGAAGGAAGTTGCCTTGACCTTACTCAAAACTTTTATGAATGAGGTAAAAATCAACGGGCCAAATTATATGAACTACTTTTTGCCTTGCAGTACCCCTACTCATTACCAAATATCATCTCAAGGTATTTCCATTCCCAAACACAACCTTTAAGCTACTTAAATATCAAGACAAAGTAGTCTTTTAGGGCACCTGTAGAAAGAGAATCACATTCTCCATTAACCACAAGCTATTTCCTGCATTTTCTCTTCGATCATTCATAAGAGGTATATTTCCCCTAAATTACCTCAGCCTTGCCGTTAAGACACAAGGCTCCAAGATGCATATATTAGTGACTCACATGTACCAATGCTTTTGTTAAGCTGTAGCTAATACCCTCTAAGAGCCATACATTTGCTAAGATGGTTAATGAGGCTAGAAATCCTTGACAGTAAGGAATGGATGAATAGTCTTATTGTTAAACAAGCCAGTTGTTTTGCGGTTTGTTGGCCCGTGCCACCAAATTCACAGTGGAACCGGTCCAGTACCTGTCAGTGGTTGGATGGTGTTTCCTCTATTTGCATGTGTGGCATCTAATGGAAGTATTACAGCTTTTGTTTACCTCTGAAGTATCAGGAAATTATACCGCACAGACCAGAATAAAACCAAATCCCATTTATAAGCACGTACCTTCAAAGGCATCTCTGTTAAAGAAAACTCATTCTCTCTTCTTCCTTACTGAAAATTACTAATAAAGAACACAAAACGTATGTCATACAAAAAGCTCCACCTAGAACCTTAGCGAAGACTCCGCGCAAACAATCCTTAAAAAGTCCCGACTGCCACATCAGAGAATAACGCTTTGTCTGAACAGGACATACATTAATGACTCTATTTTGACATCCCAAGAAACTATCAGGCAATTCTGAAACCCCACCCTGGACTGCAAGGCAAATTTACAGCCAGAAGCAGAGGGCTTGACAGCTTTTTGGACCTTCTCCAAAACACAGTTAACAGTAAGTCAGCGTCCTGCAGCGGGACAAGTAAACAAACCGCACATTGACATCACATGGAGAACAGACGAGTCGCAGTGAGAGTCATACGCCATGCAGCCTAACATCCTCCCTTGGATCTTACGGAGCGGTTCTATTAGGAGCAACAAGTTGAAAGAGAAAGGAGGGTGAAGTTAGCTTTAGGGAAGGATAGTTAATGAAAACAGGTGACTTACCCGACTTGCGCTTGGAGCCATAGTCCCTGAGGGAGAAGCAACACAAGAGGGACATGGTTAGTGACAGCAGATGCCGCTCAGTCAACAACAAAGCATGCAGTCACCACATATGGATTCTGACACTCCTAAATGGCAAGAACTGGCAACTGCACTCACGCACAAACATATGCATTCAATCGGCTTTAGCACACTAAGAATGCATGTGTTTGAGAGGGAGAGAGAGACAGAGAGTGAAGGATGGAGAGAGAGAGGGAGGGATGACTTTGGCCAGCTGCCCGTACTCCCTGCAACAGACACAAATTAGTCATGTGACTCCAAAGCGGCACCACCATCCTCTTCCTATACTCCTTCTCTTCCTCCCTCCCTCCTTCGTCCTGTCAGAGAGGAGAGCGACCTCTCCCCACATATAAAAGAAGGAGGATCAGTTTAAGATGCCTTGCTTAATGGATTCTAATGGGATTATGCCACAAGGCTAAGCTATATATGGTGGGGGGGGTGACACAGAGTTGCGCTTGTGTGTCAGGTTTGCTGTGTTTGCTGTGCATGTCTGCTTCACTGCCCTTGTCAATAGTGACTTCTGGACTCAGGCAGCGTGGCAATTGGGTTAAAAAAGATAGACGGAGGGAGAGATCAGGTGAAGACAGAGCGTGCTATTTATAGAAACACAGACCTGACAATCTGTCCATCGTCACTCCCCTTTCTGCCTCCCTTCCTTCCTCCTATCATTTGTTTTAGGATCAATGTGTCCTTTCAGCTTTCCCATGGGCTAATCAAAACCCTCATCTTACCTCAAATATAGCCACGTCATCCTGCTGCAGCACAGTGCAAAATCAGACACAGGCGGGGCAATAAAACTAAAGCACGGTGCTGTAGTGAAGAGCTGAATGCCACTAACCTTCTCTCCCCCGTGAAATACCCTCTTTCATCTAAAAACAACCACCATATAGGTGCTGACATCAACCCCAAGAAGTAGACCAGAGGGTGAAGTGGTTTGTGGATGACTGACAACAGCATGACTCTCATTTCAGGAGGAGTACCAGATTGCAGCTGCTGTCTGTCGGTACATCTCAGGATAACAGAGGGATGTGTGTGAGGTAAGTGGATGTATGTAGGCACATTGTGGACACATGTTCACTGACTAAACATCCACGCCAAACAGGCAGTGTGTTTAATTGATCATGGATTTTCCTATGAAGCCCCTTTTTCCACAGCATGGTACGGCTCGACTCGACTTTTTTGGTTTTCCATTGTGAACAGTACCTGAGCAGACACTAAATAAAAGGTGACATGAAAACTCTGCAGACTATTGATTGGTAGTGTATCGTAGTAGCTGTGTCTAGTCGAGCCGTAGCATGCAGTGGAAAAGGCATAAGTTCAGGATCATCTACAACGCTGCGAGAAAATCCTTGATTGGGACAGTTGACCTTGCTGGCCCTGTGAAACAGCCCATTTCATTAATGAGGGACCTCTCATCTTGTCAGGTTCGAAAGATTATACCGCAGTGCCAGGAGAGCAGAAACTGCTCAGGGCAGCGTAGCCGGCAGTCAAGGTAGTGCCCTCTCGCTGCATGAGGTTAATGAAAACCTCCTCTTGGCTCTTGCTGTGACCGCACTCAAGCTAATAGAGAGCCACACCGACATGTGCGCTGGCCGTGCACATGGACACACACAGATACACACAAGTGTTCTACAAGGAGACAGACAAGACAGCACACATGCATGAGCAAAGGCCATGTTTTATTTCAGATACAACAGCTCTGGATTCTTTAGTGTCCCTATGCCTGTCCTAGCTCTCTTTTTCTCTATCCCTTCATCCATTCCCCTGTGCTCTGATGTATCTGTCTCTTTGTGACTGGCCACAGCAGATGAATAAAGCCTTTATACCGACCTCTCCACCAACATCACTGTGTGCTAGCAACCAGAATATGCTTCATTGTCACCAAAGTGGGACACAGAGAGAGCGGGACTTGACCCCTTCGCCTCATCCCATCCGTCTTGAGTTATGCTGGATGCAGAACGTCAAATACATGGGCAATGGATAACAAGTCAATGGCTAATGACTTTGAATGAGTTGTACTGCAGAGTGTCTGGATATGTCTCAGTGGAAAGTATGCTGTGGACAGACCGCGCCTCAGAGTTGGCAGGATACTTGCCAGGATGTTTGCCCTTTTCGCTCTAGGCTTGCCGCAGTGGCACTAAAGATGCTGATATCCTCTGTTCGGGCACAGCGGAATGTTTTACATTTCCAGGGAATGCTAACTGCTGTGTTCTAGCTCAAACACAGAAATATGAAGCTACGGTCTAAAATGAACTCATACCTTCAATTTCATTCTGACGTAGTGTTGACTTTAGTGTCACAAAATACTTCTTTTGAAAATTGGATGTCTAACATTGGAACATACTGGCTCCTCTGTCACAGAAGCTTACATTAACAGAAAAAACTCCTATTAATTTCCACGTTTCCTCATGATTAATTTAATTTCCCAACATAAGAAAAAACCATGAACCTGTAGCGTTTATATGTTTTTGTTCTGGTCCAGCCTTGTAGGACTGAACAGGGCAGTAGGGATTCAGGTCATCTGGTTAAGAGACCTCTGAAGACTCAGCAGCTAGGACTATTTGACCCTTTATAAACCCGGATGCCTGCCTGGGGCATGAACACTAATAAATGCATAGAAAGACAGTGATGAAATAATGTAACATTTCATTCATTTTTCACTCCCTTTACATTTGTTTTTTCAGCGGTACAGAAATGTACGGTAGCACATCTGGTCTGAATAAAGGGAAAAGCCTGCTCAAGTTACAGTATATTTACATGACATATTTTATATGCATGCTGGATGCCTACTGAGTCAACTGAACAAGTTAACGGTAAATGACCTTCGCAGGGTGACAATACAATAGGTGTAAGTGTGGGACCTGGAAATGGCTGGTTGTAACTTATCAAGGAGGTGAGGACAGGGGCCAATGAATGAGTTTTGTTTGGTGGAAAACGGCAGCAGCATGAAAAGTACTTTGCTGTAGCAAACTCCCAGGGAGCCTGTTAAGCTATTCATGCTGTGCATGGTTTGAAAGACAAACACGACCTCGAAGCTCTATAAACAAGTCCCAATCAAGAGAAAAGTAGTGGCATAAGCAGTTTCTGGTCCAACTGTACAGGTCTACACAAATCACTCAGCCTTTAAATGAAGGCCTAAACTGACGCGGTGCTGCATTTGATTCTCTGGGGTTAATTGGTCTTGATAAATGATCAGGCGCAGTGTAAATACAGCGGTTAATCCCGACACCTAGAGTGACAGCTGATTGGATCAATAGCATGTGCTTTTACTGTTGTCATGGAAAGCAGGTCGAAGTAGAGGTTAGCCTGTATCACGTGTGGTCGGTTATTAGCATTAAGCATTCACAAAGGGCTTTAGAACAACATGCCTGCCTGACTCCCAACCATGAGCCCAACAGAAACAGCTCAGGAGCTTGAACGTTAGTCAACACACGGGCACATTAGCCATGCTAGCAACTGGCAGCTGATTACAGTAGCAGCTAATTAGCACCAAAGTGAACTTAGTTTTGAGCAAGAAGAGACATTATTTCTGGAGCAAAGCTAAAAAAAAAACAACAACAGATGTGAAGCTTGTTAGCAAAGCAGCTAACATTTAACATTACATTACGGCATGCCAGTGGGAGTGCAGCTGGATATTGTTGGCTTTATTTAGAGGAATGGTTTTGGAGGCATCTGCAAAGCATTAGGGCACAAAGGAGGGGCAGGGGAGGGCAAAGCGTAGAGTGAGGGTGGGATGATGAGGAAGGAGAGCAGAAACACAGGGTCCAGACTCTATCCAGTGACCCGAGTCCCTGAAGCTGAAATAAAACTCTTCCCTCGGGGGCTGAGCAACCAGCTCCGGCTGCCAACTCTTTTCCTACGTCTCGTAGAGGTATGGAGAGGAGGAAGCGCGGGGTGAAAGGCGACGTGAAGAATACACACTGCAGCGGTGCAGAAAAGGGTGTTTTATGTGGCTAAGTGGAATCTGAAGGCCATTTTTTTCAGCTGGTAGAGAAACACCACACTGGTCCTGCTGACTGTTTGTCTTAGTCGAAAGATTTGAAATGTTTTAAGTATACTTATACAGTGTGAAAAACATACAGGTTTTCACAGTGGTGAGGTGATCTTCAGGCTCACGTCAATACCATACAAATGAGATCCACTGTGGGCTCTGGTATGGGCGGTGATGTGACTAACATTCACACACCTGTTTTCCTGTGTTTCATAAATTAAGTGAAAAAACTCTTTGTGGTGACAGATTATTACATACACAGATGTTGATGTTATTTTGACAGCAGGACTGTTTACAAGTATGCACTAAATGACCAAATGGCATCTATCTGTTAGTATGTGCATATCAATCTGTCAGACACACTAGAGAAAGGTATGTATACCCTGAACAAAAACATCAACAGATGGGCCAGTTGCATACGTAAGAACACACACATTCACACTCACACACACGTTTCGTCACACTTTTCATCACATACTGACATTTGGTCACAGTGTATTCACTGAATACAGCTCCATGGAGCGGGAGCACTTCCATGCACGTCTTATCCGTTCCAGAGCTCGGAGCTCTAGACATTGATTGTCAAGCCCAAACAGATGTGAGTGAGTATCGTGAGGCAGGCCATGTGGTGTAAGGGTCAGGCAGGTCAGCTGACCACACAAGTGTTAGTCAAGATATTTTAAACTATTCGCTCGTGAATGCCAGTCCCTCAAATTCACACAATTACACACAAGTAAATCAGGCCTTCTGTTTCTCATACCTTCTGAGTGCTGCTGAATGAGGAGTATGTTGGCTTTTAAGAGTGAACAAAATGAGGTTGTTAGCTGTATTAATCTTCTCAAAGAAAATCACTGGGGGCCAACGCCCCAGAACCACTTGCCCAAGTGAGCCAGTGGTAAAGAACATTATTTCTGGACCTTGATCATAGTTTCTGTCCACAGACAGAGAAATGGCTTGAACTTTCCATTTGTTTTACAC